AAGACAACCTCAAGCGCATTTCTGAAAAAGGACGTCGATCGCGGTGATGATACAGATAAGGATGATCAAGACGACGAGATGGAAATTGATGATAATGAGGAGGACGAGGCGCTTCAATTCAAGGAGAGACTCACCATGAATGAAATGGCCGACTTGTTTGAAGTTTGCAGAGCCAAGTGGCCGGTGAAATATCTCTCAGTTCTCGTTTACATGACCCTGCGAAGTGTCGGCGCAAGCTGGAATAGTGCGAGACGTTCTTGAAAAATCTAGGTCAGTTACTCGAATAGGAGAATTGTTTTTAATGCAGAAAGTCTAACGGTTCAGCTGGTACTTCAGTTGTCACTGCCCACAAGTGGTCAGTGATCTTTCTCGCAGGAGAGATCGAGTCCTTCGAGGGAGACAAGCGCATTGGGAAGCATTCGACCTCGTTCTACAACTACTTCTCGAGGAGGCCGCCTTGCAATACACTCATGAGCACTGCTCTCAAAAGGCGGTAGACTTCACATCAATGGACTTGGCAAACTGTATTGACAATCAATACTACAAAGTCATCAAGACCAAGAAAGGTATTTTGTCTTGATCGATCCCAACATCTTTCTTTTGAAACTGGGTGTAACTTTAGAGCCTGCCAGTCCTCTAATTCGATCAGTTGCCTCTGTGCACCTCGATCTGAAGAGGTGGGGTGCCAAATTCGCAGGAAATGGTCAACGTCCTTATTTCGAAGGCCATGAGCGGGCAGATGTGAAGAAACACCGCGGGGAGTTCATCAACCACTTTCTCTCTCACAAGAACGAATACTGGACGTCCAAGGAAGGGGATTCGCCAGACTGAGTGGTTCCTAGCCAGTAGCCTCAGCGTGTGCTGCTTTGTAAGCGCCAGTCGAGCTCACCTTCTACCACATCATAAATATTGATGTTTCTAGTTCATGACGAATCTACCTACAAGTCTGGAGAAATCAGTAGTAAGAGGTGGTTCATCGAAGATGCTCCTTTCATATCAAGGGCCGTGGTCGTAGTCGAATGGCCTCGGATTTTATTGTGCAGCATCCTTCTGGCCCGTTCTTTTCACTTTCTCCCGGAGAAAGTCACTCGACCCGGTCGAGTGACAGGAAGTCCTCAACTGGACTGCAAGTGAAAGTCGTAGTGGACAAGGCTCGGTAACTGCTCTATATTATTCCGTTAGAGATAAGATGCAATGAATTCTTAATTTTAGCACGCACACTACCAAATCTCACAGTGTCTATGATTTCGGCAAAGGCATTGGCACTCAGTATTCTGTGGACAAAATCGAATACAAAAGGTAGTGATGTATCAACTGTTTCACTGCTAAATCTATTGATTACTCTCTTAGACTCTAACAATCAGAATCAAATGATATATTGCAGATTCCAGAGTGGAGTTAACAAAGGAAAAACAAAAGGACTTCTGCAGATCGCTAAGGAGCTGAAAGTTCCTCTTCCAGCTAAGATCACTCTACCCGAGTTACGGAACCGAATGTCCGATCATCCTGCATTTCAGGCAGTAAGAAACTTCTTCCGATTATTCCATATTCTGTATTTTAAAGGTGTCTCGCTTGGAATAACTCGCTGATAAGTACAAGGTGATCATTCGATGGTGTCCGAAGTTCCATTGTGAGTTCAATGTAATCGAGGGACTCTGGTGCTCGTCCAAGTGTTTCGTCCGTCGGAGAACCGACCAGAACTACTCGACAATGTCAAGCTAATTGTCGAATCCCGCGATCACTTTCAAACGAGACGCTTCACCTGAAACTGTTTCGCCGTTTCTGGCGCTGTACACCGTTTAACAAGAAAATCAAAATATTGTGATCATATTTCCTTAAAAACCCTCTAAAAATCCTTTGAAGATCCACTGAAGACACACTATAGTTCTGGACAATAGCACCATCGTCTTCCTCATCATTTTCTACCCTTAGACCGGCATTAGAACGTCAATCGGATAAAAACTCGAAAAGTTGGTGAAAAGGGTTCTGGCCGTTGGACTCCGACTTTAGTAAATGAGGTATAATTTTTGCAAGAGACTTTTTCTCAAAAAATTGCTCGTATAACTTTGTAGAGCTTTTCAAGGCGCGCCGAATGGTGTCAAGTTTTTGTTTCTACGACCTTCCCACGGGGACTTGAAAAGTTTGGGAGAAAATTTTGGATCTTTGGAGTCTGCTACGCCGAAAAACCAGTCGAAGGTTTCGAACACTAAAAAGCGCATGGCTAGAATCCGTTCTCAACGCTAAATCCGAATATCGAAACCGCAGACTTGTACGACATCAGGGGGAAAAGTTATGAAGCTTTTTCGGAATCTCGATCTTTTTCGAGGATTCGATCGAGATTTAGTTTTCGGTCTTTTTCACCCGGAAGAAAAATTCCAAAAAATGTCGGGACCACATATTCGTGATCAGCGAAAGCAACTGCATCGAATGAGGTATAAAAAAACGAAATCTAAAATCCACTAAAACCTTGGCTTAGCGGCACCTTACAAAATGTTTCCAGTAAGACAATACAAAGTTATTCCTTCTGTAAAAATAAATAAATGAAGACCTTTGACAGAGCTAAAACATGTCGTGATCAAGATTCATCGTTTTTCACTTCTACTGTCCTATCTATTATCAGAAAAACAATGAATTAAACGTTTTGTATTAGTAGCGCCATTAGATATGGATTTATTAAATACAAAGAATACAAACAAGGTAAAATGTGTTGCTTTTAATGAAAAGTCTTGTAATAATATGCTTCTTCAAGAAATAAGCTGTAATTTATTATATTAGGTCCCTGCCTTCCCGAAAACACGAAAGTTTTTGCGTTGTGCAAAGATCTTGATGACTTCCATGAATTGTTCGAAGGAGAAGCAAGAAGTCGGAGCCTTCATGATAACAAATGCCACAACTCTTAGTCATAAGATAATTCATCTTGAGACTTGAAATTATGCCTTTTTTTTTCCTTCTTCCTCCATCTTATTTTTGTCTTTTTAATCTTTTTTCCGGATATATGTACATGTAGAGATAAATGTAGAAGGTGTGTCTCATAATGTATTGTCTGAACTTCATCTCATAGACACAAAATTCGAGCGCAAAGAGCTATATTTTCCCCAATATCTCAGCAAAATCAACTAGGAGTACTCAATTTATGCATATCTCGATATTCTGATTAATTAATTTTTCTTGCTCTTTGATCTATATTTCTTCCTTCTGATTTTTTCACTTATATATCGAAACACAGTACTTATATAGCACGACTTTTTTCTGAAGGAACATAATATATGAATAGAACAACTTTCATATTTTTTTCGAAATCTATTTTTATTTGTAATGTTCTTTTAGGCAAACATTCCTTCTTGTCTAACTATTGAGTTAACAGAAATTATTGAAGATGATCCAAGACTGGAGTATCCGAATTTAAATGAACATATATTAAATCAAATAGAGAATCAATTTCGCGTTTTATTTTCTGAACATGATAAAAAACTTTTATCCAGAATCTGTGCAATTGCTATTCATACAATGAAAAACAACGCCAAGAAAAAAGCACGTAAACATAAAATTACATTAAAGACATTTACTAAGACAACATTTCAACTACAAACAACTAATTTACTGTCCGTTATATCTGCGTCGTCATCGTCGTGTGTATCTACAATTGTCCGTATTCCACCATGTCGAGTCAAACTATTAACACATTACAATTATCAATCGCCTAAAGCATCGATAAATCAAGACTGTCCACCTACAGCCATATTTTCACCTTTACCCGATTCACAAAGTATTACATTTCGTTCGAATGAATCATCACCAACCGCCGTTCAAATGAGGTATTTCAAAAATAAGAAAACGAAAAGCTACTGAACGAGACTCAATTGATGAATATATTACAAGCAAACACCAAGCCGTGGAATCCAGCAGTTTACCGTCAAATCCATCAATTCTATATATATTATGGCCAAGAAAGCAAATGGAACAGCTTGACGACTTTTTTCTTCCGATTCATCTAATTCATCTGAGGATAATAGTAACAACTTACCTACACCAGTATTAATAAGAAACACAAACTCAAACAAAGAAGAAAACGACCGTATTATCACTTATTGGAAATTAAAAAATAATATATCTGATCATGCCGTGAATGAACTACATAAAATCCACACGTCAATACCGAGCATTTGGTCGATAAGAAATGTTCGTAAGCGATTAAATAATAATATCCATGTGAATAATACAGAATTTGGTTCATATATTGCAATGAAAGATGCTATTAAAACTTTAATTCATACAAATGGCTCGACAAAAACAGAAATACGAAGAAATATTACAATACCTCTGTCTATTGATGGAACTCAAATAGGCGAAAAAACAAAAGTTCTGGTATTATGTATTAGCTGTACACAGTTTAATTCAAAACAACAAATGGCATCAAAATTATTACCAATAGGTTTATTTAAAATTGATATAGAAGATTATGAAACAGTCAAAAAAGTTATACCAAATGAAATTATTAGTAGTTTAATTCAAGATCAAAAACTAATTATTAACGGTGAACAGTTTTCCATTAAGTTCAAGTGAGTACTCTTTGTTAAATTGGTAATGCACGAAGTAACCGGGATATTAGTCTTTACAGATGAGCATATAACTTTTAATTCTAGATTGGCATGTGACTACAAAATGTTGCTCATTTTATTTGGACTCAATGCAGTTAGTGGCATATACTTCTGCCCGTGGTGCAAAGTCACAACGGCAAACATTGATCGGTTAGGAAGCTTTTCTGCATTTAACGAATGCAAAGTAGCTAGAACTATAGAAGAGGCAAAAAAAAATTGAAAAGGTAACTGAGAGTTCTGTTTACCTTCAAACTTAGACTCTAATAGATTAATGTCGTTTTTTGTATGAATAGTGATAAACGAAGATATGGATATAAAAGCGAACCAATATTTGGAACTAGATTTCGGTAAAATACACTTAATAGATAGACACTTATAAATAGAAGGGAAATCTGACCATCCAAATTGTTGTCCTTTTAGCTTTCACGATGCAAGGCCCGATCTCTTTCATTGTGAGCATAGAGCACATGACATATTTATGGAACATATTATTGGGCTGGTGAATGAACAGTATGATATATACAATAAAGAACAAGTCGAGCCCCTTCTTCGAGAATTACAGTCAATTTTAGAACAGCAAAAGGAAAGTAACATTGTATAATTTTAATTTATCTTTATAGCAATGTATCTCATGCCGCCTGTAAACAAAGGTAGAAAATATATTGATACGTCACCTTGCATGATAAACGCAAGTTATTTTTTCATTTTGTCTCTTCTCTAGCACGCCATGGTTAGCTAAGATTAATTCTTGATTAGAAATTATTTTGACAGTTTAGGCATTTCTATAATTACTAGAAAACAATTGAAATATATCACAAGGAATGTACACACTCCAAGCACACGATTTATATGCTTATAGTTTTCGAAGGATAAAGAAAGTGTGTGGGCAAATTGATCAGGTATTTGTGTGTAGCTTGACATTGATGAGGCGAGGCATACCATTACCACTGTATCAATTCACAATGGCAAAGAAGAAGAAAAGAATCGAAGGTTTTATTCTATTACTAATAAGATATTTTGTGACGGTTTATTTTTACGACGGAATGGCCATCCATTAAAATTAATTCTTGGATGAGGATGATACACAAACAGATTACTAACTGCTGTTATAAGATTCGAACCATCATCGCCACAGTACCACCAACCGATTGTTGTGCCAAGATGGAGATTTGATCAGCCCGATGTTCGTTTAAATTGACTATAATAAACAGAATAACTGATGGAGATAACTGATGGACACACTACTTCGATAGATTCAAAGAACATAAAAAGAAAAAGAATGTGATGTAGTGAATCTGCGTTTCCAACAATAAATTTAAATAAGCATGTACTGTGTATATATATCTGTATAAACCTTTATATAACTTTCCTTTGATAAGAGATTATTTTTAGACACATACATACGTATGTGACTTTATGTACGGTCTATATATATATATATATTTTATATACAATAGACTGTACATAAAGTTCTCCTTTCTGAATTTTTTTTCCATATGGTTATCGTACTGCTATTGACTGTTCTCTACTAGTAGAAAAAGTCCCGCACTCGTAGAAAATTTGTACATAAAGAACAGCGAAGAACAAAAGAGAAGGACTATTTGGCATTTTTAATAAATCATTTCCATTGCTGAAGTGCCGACTGTTCTTAAACCAAATTCCAATGCCATTTGTTCTGTAGGTCAGGAAAGCGCCATGCCTCGATTCAGTACTTTGCCTACTCAAAAAACTAGTGGCAGCAATAGTTCATCTACAGTTATATTCAGAACAGTCTTCCGAATTTCTGTCATTTCAGCTTTTATTGAAGCAATACTCTGGAGAAACCGAGTAGCGACAAATTTTATTATTTTACCATACTTGGAATCTTCAAGAGCAAAGTTCAGCGATTCCTGAATGAAACTCACAAAATCAAAAGGTTTTTGATTCCTTGTTTCACAGTAGTCTCAGTTGTGTTACTTGTTAGACTATAATAAGAATTTATATGAACTGTACTCTCTGTTTCTCTCTCAGTACATTGAATATGAATGTTTGAGAAGTAGAGAGCAGAGGAAAAGCAAAAAGCTACGATCATTATCAAAAAATAACCCTTACACAGGTAGTGTGATGACCGTGTGCTTATATCACACCGAATTTTGATAATCAAAGTTGATCAGAATGAGTAGTGAAGCGAGGAAAAACATGTCCGAAACGATCTCTGCTTGTGCTTTTTCTAAATTTGTATAATGCATCCATCCTGTAGAGAGACAAGAAAAATGGATGGTTGTACTGACTGTATGCCCGACATTGGTAGTGAGGTCAGCAGTGATTTAGTACAGAGCAACAACAATGTGGTATGACACGAGAGAAAATACCTGAGAAAAAAAATGCTTATGATAATTAGGTAGGAAGATAGGTAGAGGTAATTTTCAGCCTTTGTATATATTCACCTGCATAGCGAAACATTTTTAAACTATTGTATCACTTCAAAGCAGAATCTCAAGCAAAGCAATGCGCATCTTCCTTGTGACAAGTGCTATTTGTGTTTTGGTGTTATTTACAGGTATTACTGCCGATTCTAATGCCGCAGCTTTTGCAAAATGCCGAGCTATCAATAAAAAAGTGCACCTCTTTTTAAATGAATTTACAAAACTGGCAAAGAAACTTAATCCTCATTTATTGATTGGTTACAATGTTCAGACAGTCAACGATTCGAATTACGTTCGTGGGTTCTTGTATGGAGCTGGTTATTCAACACCTAAAGATGAACATCCGGGAACAGTTTATAGTGACACGGCCAATCTTCAACTGATCAATCAACAAAAAGTCATTCAAGGTAAAGACAACAACTTTTTAGCTGTACCGTTTAAACAACTGAACAATCAAACAATCTTTTATACTGCACAATCATCACCGAATAGCAATACCGCAGAACTGGATCCCTCGACAACAACAAGCTATGCCATTGCTCTGATGATCGAGCAAGTGCGCAAATTTTACGAGATTGATGCAAAAGCTGTCTATTCATATTTTGTCAAGGACATATCCATCAACCAGTACATCCGAGTTTTCACAACAACTCCAGACATAAACGGGCATTATGCTACGGGAGAATCACTAAGTCAGACAGTAGCCTCTGTGATGGACGCTGGCAAAGTATATAAGGGAAAAGTTGTACTATTTGGAAAAAACTACATTGCTGTCTATAGAACATATAATAGCTTCTCAACAAAAGTTGTAATTGGTTCGGCGGTGTTAGCCTAAATCTAAGAATAAGAAACACTTCTCATAAACTGTTCAGTGACATACAGGTCTCAAACTTTAGTTTTTAAACTTTTTTTTTTCGTTTTGATTAGTTACTTATTCTGTTCTATCTATCTTTTGAACTTTCTCTTTTGCAAAGTAACAATGTATTCATAGATTTAGTTCGAATAAACATAACAGAATACTTTAGTTTTCCTATTTTGTGAACGGACGTGCACAGTGAAGTATCCTAAAGTAGAGAAAGAATAGCAACACATCTTATTTAACCTACCATTTTTAAAAATGAATTGTAAGTGGGATGGGAAGCGTCAAAAAGTTCTTTCAAGGATTACACGCTCTTTGGTACTAGCATGACACTTTGTTTGTTCAAAAGCAAATCACTCGACGCGATTCCGAC